ACAAACCAAAATAGTTTCACATTGTTAATCCATTTTCCTTCATTCACTAATTTCTATTTTTATTATAATATTTCATTAAAAGTTAATGACATGGAAAACTAGAAAGTCTGCAGCTCTTCCAGTAGTTACATCGGACATCAATTTACTTCTGCTGTTGAGAATTATTTTAATAACTCTCTAGCCTTTCAGCATGAACAAATACAACGTTCATCAAGGAATCATAGCTCTCTCTGTTTAAAGATAAAAATCAAAAAGGTTCTTCCCTGAGAGGATGGCACATTTGCCAAATGATTTTTTTCTTTTCCTCATAAAAATTTGTCTTAAACTTCAGCAACGTTGTCACACTGAACCAATCTGAATTCCCTTGTGGTTACAGGAGGGTAACTATTTCAAGAGAATCTAAGAGAAAAACTGAAAGCCTCCAGTCTCTAGACTCCAGTCTCTAGAAGTCAATGAACATTTCTACAGACACCTGGCATGTGGTTATAGCACACTGTTATGGCAAACACACTTTTATTCCCTGGGCTATACTGCACTAATCTCTGAAGGGTTCTCAGATACTTTCTGAGGGCAACACTGAAGGATGTAAGCTTCAAATGTACTGTAATGCTGTAATTTCATTATCATAAGAAACTATACTCAGAATCTTCTCTCTACAACCTGAAATTTCAGGCTGTTCAAAGACAGTAGATATGCCTGGTCATATCCATGATCACCATCTGGATCTAGCACATGAGCACTCAAATCCTTGATTGCCACATTTCATGACTTGAGGTTGGGAAGCCATCAGCATTCAACAATAGGCAGAGTTATGTAGGTCTCAAGGTGGCTAAAAATGGACTACCAGGCAAATAATGGATTTTTCATTAAGGATCTAGCATTTAACCTTATGGCAAATTTTTGTCATAGCCACTGATTCCACCAGCATTCCGTTGCTCTGATCCCACACAACACCTGATGCTAAATCTGCCTTGTCACACATGAAAGGAGGGGAAGAATGTAGCATGACAATAACTAGAAATCCTCATTCATTTACCATACTATAAAAATAATAAATAACAGCAAAAATAGGTGCTTTTCATTTCATAGAATGAGGTCCTTTGGAGCCAAGTCATCAGAAATCCATTAAAACAATGAAGAAATTAAAAACTAGATCTGTATTGAAGCAGAGACCACCTGAACCATACATATGGTTGGAGCTTCAGGATTGCAACTGATGTGAAAACTCCATTTGGAAGCTGGGATACCCCCACCCCCCATATTATGTGAAATAGTAAGTTGCAATACACTTCTCCAAAACAGAACAGAAACAATCTTCAAGAAAGCATCAGTCGATCATAAACAAAAACAAGGCTAGTCTTCCCTGGTACCCAACCAGAAGAAAAAGGCACATGACAAGGAGGTTATTCCATGTGACCACTTTATCCTCACATACAAGAAGGGATGCACAGACTAAAAATAACAAATAATTTTAAGGTCTTTGGGGCTTACTCAGAAAGAGAGGGTGAAGCATTTGGACAAAATATAACAACTGTAAATTCTGCCTCAGATGCTGGCTATATCAGCAGAGATCCTGGCAATCTAATTGTCTCTTGAAGCAGCACAGTGACAGATGCAGAAGCAAACACTTGCAAACATAAGAGTAGAGAAAGAAAATAACTCTTCAGTACTGAAAGAAGTTTTTAAAAAATGAAAGAACAGCAGGATGAAAAAAACTATAAAATTTCCACAGAAACTCATAAATAGATCTTCCTACAACAAAGCTCAAGAGCCACTTGAAGCCTGATTTTTTTTCTGAATGAAGCCCCAAAACCATATTTTGCTTGTGTCCACTCTATAAAAAATAATATATATGAACTTTTTTTATGCTGTGTTATGTGACCTTTTATGAGAAAAACCTCAGCAACCATAGCTTATATCCTATGTTTAAAATTAATGAGACATTTATTCAAGATTTTATCTAGCTTACCCCACATTTACTGAAACTCAATAATTAATATCACCTATTGCTCAGATGTTAAATGATAGATACAAATTATCAGGTTTTACAATTTTTTAAGAACCTTCAGCTAATACAGTACAGAAGGAAAACTGAGATTACGTTTAGAGAAAAGAAAGATTACAGCTGTTTTCCACTGTGTCTAAAAGGTACAGCATCATAAGTGAACCATGGAGATAGATACAGAAGTGAGATATGACACAACTGAGTATTTTTCAAAAGCATGATAGAAATAATGCCTTTAAAGAAGGCAAATCCTTCAATACAAAGAAAAAAATACTATTCAAATTAAAAGATTCAATCAAGAGAACTATGAATTATTAGAGAAAAATGTGGACCTTGAGTTAATCACAACACTACATGATTCAAATATGTTGAAGAAAAATGTTATTATAAGACATCTATTTAAATAGAAAACCTTAAGAGAGCTCTTCAGAAAACAAGCCAAAACAAAAACAACAAAAATATTTTAAGACTTTTAAAAGTTAACAAGATGGCATACCAAGAATATTCACTTAACCTTTATCTTCATCTGAGAGAAATGTGACAGTTATCAAGTACTACCTAAAGAAAAGGATTTCTTTCTCCCACACCTACGTGGACAATACAGGATTGGTTATGACTCCAGCAGAACCTTGAATGCTTTATTTCATCCTACATTAACTTTACCTTCCTTGAATACTTCATCTGCAGTCATGCCAGATTTATAACTTGCAACTGAGAGATCTTGAGAAATTTTCCCCAGACTTCATAAAACAAATATTCTTAAACTCTTGCATATAAACCAGTGATGGAGTTCAATGTATTATTAGCAGTCATGTAGGAACAGGCAGAATCTATGCACCTGATCTCCTTGTTTGTAAAATGTGAGCTTAAAGACACACAAAAAAAAAAAATCACCAAAAAAAAATCCCAAACAAACAAAAAACCCCACAACATTGACTATTTTTGAACTGCTGGTTGCCCTAGTGACTATAGAATTCTTACAGCACTGTGAAAGAAAAGGATGAAATACATAGGACGTCACTCAAGTGAGAGCCACTGTATGAAATAAAAAACCCAGAACATCTGAAATAGAAAGAAAATTTGGACAAAATTGCAGTCTTTTTTGGACTTCTTTAATCTACAGAATGCTAGTTGAGAATTCTGTGCAATTTTTATGTGAGTGAAACAATTATGTATGGAACATTAAAAAAAATTTTACAACATGTATCTTAGAGAAGAGATATGAAAAACATCAAACTGGTGCAGTTGATCATTAATTAAATACATATGAGTATAAATGGATAGAAATGTGCCAAATGAAGGATGTAATATCATCAATATAAACATAATGATATATTTTAACTATGATCTGCCATATGTACAAGGGTTAAAGATAAATCTGCATGGTAAATTTATGTGTGGGGTTTTCTCATTTTCCTTTGTCTTATCTGAAACTCTAACTTCTCCAGACCATAGCTGTGATATTAATTATATACATTTTACTTTAAAGAGTTCTAGTCATATACATCAGGATGTTAAGACAGAAACAAAAACTCTGGGTTCATAAAATAAATCTTATGAAAAAAATCAACTACTGTCTTAAGTGTTAGAACTAAAAAGAGATTGGATACCTTCCTCCTGCTTGTATCCCAAAACTGAGATTAACAAAATGAGTCTCAGCTCTTGCCTAATCCTTGAGTTGAGAAAAATGCAGATTCAACCTCGAAGTACAGCAACAACAGACAAGCTTTCCTTTACTCTTTCCCCCAAGATTCTCAGACTTAGCCTACCTTGACCATACAGGCTGGATTTATAAACAATCCTTTGTCGTGGGAGCAATAAACATGATGAGCTACTCCTCTCTCGACCCTGATTTTTTTTGTGGACTAAGTAAGCATTAGATATCCCAGAGAAAGGGAGGTCCAATCTGTAATTTAACAATTAGCTCCTTTCACACATAAGACATGAGTTCTAATCCTTTCTCTTCTGAGCACGTACTAGTTTGCTAAATTCTCCTATAGAAATAGGTTTCAATAAAGCTAGTGATTACTCTTCATTAATAAAAGCAATTTGAAATTTTTAGTAGCCTACAACAAGGTTTTCTTCTGCTTTAGAGCAAATATGAAACTTTATTATTTCCTGTTCTTAAATATTCTTAATTCTTAGGAGTTTGGCTTTTTCTAAGGGATTACAAATAGCTAAGTTCTGTCTGCTTTTGACAAGCATAAGATGCTATAACATAGAGGAGAAAGGCAGGTACCATTATCAATCCAAAATCATGTTACAAAAGAATTCTTCCATCTAAGAACAGACCGTAGTAATTGTTTGAAATTGTCATGTATTTCTAATTTTGCATCCAAAAGTTAAATGCTATGTATATGAATAAAGTAATTTAGTGGTATTCCACTTCAGCCTAAGCATTAAATGTCTGATTCTTCTTCTCTGACATTATTACCTAAGTATATTCCAAGAAAGATGCATTTGTCTCAGTTTTGTAAAATGACTGAGCCTTTAATATTGTTGGATAAAATTAATTCACATATTAAGTATGTGTACAGTACTGGAATAGCGGAATTTGCCTTCTTTTCCAGAATTCACAGAACAGGTGTTATATATTCAGTAGTTTATTTTAATTAATATGGTCTGACCTGAGACTACCAGTCCTTTTCACTCTCAGCTGCAAAACGCTACAAGATTTTAGGTTAAGTTTCATTCATCACGATCTGGAGTCTACCACAAGAGACAAAAAAAATAACAAATTAAAAATATTAACAGAAGAATCCTAATTCCATCGAAGTCAATGTACTTATAAAGTTAGATGGAAATTTGGGCAAGACTAATAACATGGTATTTGGGAGTTTTTTCTTTTTTATTTAATTGCTCTTTGACTTAATACACTTCAGCTTATTAAAATTAGTTCCTTCCTCCTTTAGGAACCACATCAGCTGTCCATTGAAGTTAAAAGACAGGAAGGCAGACACCAATGCTGAGGATTTGTTGATTGCTGTGTACATACCACCTTTCATCATTCCCACTTCATAACATTTTCTTAGTCGGCAAGCCTGGCAACTCTTTCTTCTGTTCTTGTCGATGGTGCACTGGTTAGTAGCAGGACACATGTAGTCATTGTGCCCTGTAAAAACAGAGGGAAAATAAGGACACGGTTATACACAGAAATAACAAAACTGCCTGAAACACTCTCTTATTTTTCATTGGGTGTTTAGCACAGCATCTAGTATCTCGGGATGAAGGTAGGGTTACCATGATAATCTATCATAAAAGAATTGATAGTGAAGCTAACAACTATTCACAAGTTCTTTAAAAGTATTATTAAAAACACAAATTACAACTTCTGTAGAATATTTAAAATAATGAACAATTAAAGCAGTCACAAAAGAGGATAGATTAATATGAGCAAGTCCCTTGACTTCCTTGCTCTTAGCCTGAGAAATACAATGCCATTTGTTCCCTGTGCCTGTGTTGATATTTAACCATTAGACTGCACAAAATGGTTAGTTTAGAGAATTCAAAAGGGCTATGCACAGAACATTTTTTGATATCTACCACAATCTGGGGCATCTAAGAAACAAAAAACAACAACATAAAATAAAAACAACCACCATTAATTAATTTTATCTCAGGGATAAGTCAGTCTCTAGCTCCAATTGCATGTCTACTAATATATGGAAATATCTTTTCTGATGACACCTGCTTAAATTACCATGTGCTGCAACCAGGTCTGGTACCTTTTCCTTCAGAGCTCCATTTCCTCATTTATCATCCTCTACATCTCAATTCTTGTTACAAACATTTTCAGTGTACCACAATTTATTACTGCCAACAAGCCTCTTTTCCAACTTTCTCTTAAAAAATATGTGTTTAGATCAGCTATAAAATTATTTTCCAACCATAGACAGAGTTTAGTAAGGACAAAAAAGACTATCCAGAACGATCTTATTGGTGCTCTGTATTCATCTAAACACAACTAAGGTACAGCACACAATGAAACAATTTTACTGCAGAACTGTTTGTTCTTTCTTTCAGGTCAAGGGATCTGCTTGAGGTAGAGTAGGGTGGAGGTTTGACAGAGGCCTTGGTCTCTTCAAATCGCCTATCCTTGACTAGAAATTAGAAAATGGAGTAAAAATTACTATCAGATTACAACAGGAACATCTGCTCTCTAATGCTACATAACTGGGATCCAATCAAAATAAGCAGCCAAACTGTAAACTTGTTAATACGGTGACAGCTGACTACACATTGTCTCAAATAGACAGAATTATTATTTTTTATCTCTACTTGACAGAACAGTATAATACTGGAAAATTCTGAATCCACAGGCTTTGCTCCAGGACTGAGGTAAAAAGGTAGAACAGAGACATTACCTTAACCTCAGCATGAAAGACCATTTTAATTTTCATTTCCTCTGGTAGGATACAAACTGTTCTATATCTGATTCAAAACATTTCACATGTAAGGAAAAAAAAAAATCAAGTCAGAAAGAAAACAGCTCAGCCATACAAAAATCCAATATCTACAGGGAAAAGAGACAGAAAAGGAAAGCAATTTTTTTAAGAAAATGCACTTTATTAGGTCATACTAAACAACAGCAAGAGACTGTAGCACCTGACCTCAATCACCACCATTGTTTTATAAACCAAGCTCTGAAATAGCATGAGAGAATGACAGAAAAATTTAATTACTCTTTTTATAAACAAAGGAAGACTTTGACAGAGTATGTGATCTTCTTCCTAGTGAGGTTAAAAGGTAAATTCACAAAGGGAACGAGCACAGGCTTTGAATTCAGCAAAAAATTCAGAACACCATTTAGCTCTCTGTAAAAGAAGCAGATAAATGTTCCCACTTAGGTGAAAGCTGAATACATGCTTACCACCTTTGCAGGACTGACTGATGGTCATAAGGTTCAACTCTCAAAAGAAGAAAAGTGACAGTATGCAAAAATCAAGTGGAATCAATATCAGCAGGGCACCCGTTCTTCACAGTGGTTATGTGGGTGTTAACCTTTCCTTTGCTCTGAACCTCGATTTCCTTATGCAAACTGCAATTTGGGAATAAGCATTTGGTTTGTAGAATAATACATAAAATAATCCTGTTCGTGATAGAGCTGCAGTCCCTATTGAAATTAACATGATTTGCATTGAAAAGTTTTATCTTAAATATACATTTTAAGCATTAGCATAATTAGTCTGTTTTCATGCACATGATGTGCACCTTAGACAATCCACTCTTCTTTCAAAGTGCTTGACAGACTTCACAGAATCAAACCTGTAAAATTTTGAATGCAAAAAAAGAAAGATCTGTGAGGTCATACTTCTTCAGATTATGAGTGCCACAGTTTAGACTTCATATTTGCTGTAAACGTGGGAAGAAAATCATGCATTTAATATTTCTCATATTTTTTGGTCTAGTTTAACCAACATGCCTTCAGAAGACTGGGAAAGATCTAAGCAACCAGAATAAAATGTTTGATTTTAGATTATACAGTATAAATGGTTATCAAATTAATCAGGGAAGAATAAAGAAACAAATGGAAGAAGGAAGACAAGAACCTTTCCTGCTTCTCCACAATACCATCTGATTTCAAGTATTCAGTCACAGCAAGTGAGTAAATTTCCTTTGCAAGGCAGAGACACAGACTAAGGCAGCCAATCTTGGGGTGGCATGGAAGGGACAAAGGTAGAACATAACTAAGGAATAGGTAACATGCAAAGAGAAGTGTTATTTTAAAGTGAAATAGTATAACTCAGTAACTCTGCTGAAAAGTGAATTGTCTTTTAAGTATTCTACTCTTTATTTTATCCTTAAAGCTCACTTCTTGGCAAAGTTGATTCCAAACAATCTGACTTACTAGAAGGGATTTCTCACCGGTGGGAACTGTCAGTGTGAAAGTGGGACACACTATCGGGTGCCCAGCTGCCCTGCACTTTGTTTTCATGGTATCCAAACAGTAATACATGCTAGAAGAGAGGCTAACCAGGCCATTTGGATAGTTGGTATAACAGGAATACTGAGAGGAAGAAATGTCTTCAGTGATCACTGATACTCTTAAAACAAAGCACATGCCACTTGGACTCTGTGGTCTTACTGGGTTTTTTTAAACTAATTATCAGAGAACCTGCACAAAATTAAAAGCAGAGAGTTTAATAGAGACCCTAGTTTTAATCCCCCCATATGTATGACTTGCACTGTGATGAGCTACAAAGGAAGAGTTTAAGGGAGTTATTGGAGGAGCTTGAGGGGCGTGGTCTGTTTTTCCTATAATATCTCACACATTGTACATTTTAAAACAGTAAAAATAGCATTAAGTATGTTTATAGCACTTTATTTCATGCTAAGGTCTTTCCACAATAGGGTGCAAAGATCTGGCTCTTTTCTCAAAGCACAATGTGACAAAGATGTGACAATCTGTATGATAATGAACAATAGTGAAGGGGGAGGAGGATGTGGAATTAAAATGTCTACAGGAAGTTAATGGGTGAAATTAGAATAATTTTGCGTTTATTCTAACCCAGTCTGTAATAATCAGAGCTTTTTCTTACTGCAAATGCAGTCTGACTTTCATCACCGTGAATCATGTGGCTAGTATTTATGTTCAGAGACTCATTGCTGTCTGTCGAAGGGTTCTTAAGATAGATGTGGTGTATGCAACAGCAGTACATGCTTGAATTGGAATGGGCAGATGATTTATCTGTGAGGGCTTCAGCCAGCAAAACACTCCATATTTCTTTAAAGTTAAGTGTTACTACATCCAACAGAACATTTAAGTATCTGTGTACTTCTAGCAAGTAGTCCCAGCACAGTATATATGGCTAAAGTTAAGTACATGCTTGAGTGTTTCACTGAATTGCAGCTTTGAAGAGCTGAGTTCACTTTGTTCCTTGAACAACAGGGATAAAAATTGGGGTCATATTAATATATCAATGGCAATTAACATAACACAGATTATTTTTTTTTTCTTAAATGTGTAAACAGTTGCCATATTATATTCCAATAACCGTCAAGATTAGCCTGAAGGAATGATTAGTTTAAGCAGTACAGAAGTTGTTCAAAAAAATGAACAAAAGAAACCAACATGGCAGCATGCCAGCTTAAGAATGCTCAATGGCTGTTCTACAAAGCCAGTAAAGGAACATTTATTTCAGGTGAAATTTGCATGACACCTAAACTGATGTAGTTGAATTGACTCATCATGCATTTCAAACAAAGTCAGTAATAATTATTATGCTATTACTAATACATGCTTTTCCCTTAATTATTCTTTTATTTTCAATCCTCATGTCATGCAAATTTCTTAAACTATTATCTATCCACATAAGGCATCTGCCAGGTTAACCATTACCTGTGGAAGCACCAGATCTTTCTATGATCTTATTGCATCAGTGAAATTAGCAGAATTTCATACACGTAGGTGAAGGGAAGGCTAGAGTGTAGATTTTGTCTACATCTTAAGGTGCTAAGTAAATGATGAGTGGGAAAACCACAGATGAAAAAGAAAATCTTGAAAGGTCACAACAGCAAGTGGAAATTTTTCTTAAACAGTAAAAAGAAAATAAAAATAGCACCTGGGCATTGAATATGCTAACCCAGTATGAACAAATGTTAAATGTAAAATAAAAAGTTATACCAATTTTAAGCTAAAGTGCCCCAATATAACTGCGCAGATTAAATTTAAAATCTCACTCTTTCTTAACAAGTTTTACAAAAGAACAGAAGGTTATGTCTAATTCCTTTAAAAGCACAGACACTCAAATTCACAGATCAATTACCCTCAGACAAGGTCTTTGGACTTGGAATTTGGGTTCTCTTAGCAACTATCCAGCACTGCTAAGATTAATCATTTTCTGTATTCAAATTAGCAAGACATTACTATATGTAAGGAAAAGGGCCTAGAAGATTGTAAAACACAGTTCCTTTGCATCCAGTGAGGATGTCCTCCTTCTATGCATACCTTGGAAAGAAAGATCACAGAGCCACTGAAGAATGAGAAAGGAGGAAAGGTTAAAATCTATATACTCTGTATTATGTCCTTCAGCTGTGTCATGTAGCTCCCACACTGAGTGATCACCTTTTAGTGGAATCTTCTTGCCTTCACGTATGTATAGGACTTTCACA